GGGGGAGAGTGGGAGCACTGACCATGTGTTCCTGCAGAGGAACAGAAAACCATGGCAACAGAGGAGATATTTCAGCTGATACTGTTTTTTAGGACCTTTTTTTCACACAAGAACTAGTCCTATGACACGTCATGGCACAGAAGAGACCTTTATGAACATGTTTACAGGACTAGCTCTGTGCTTCTCTCCAACACTAGGTCTGAATTGGTGGAAATGAAGTATTTCTGACTTCTGTTTGCAGAGGTAAAATGAAATCTAGAAAACATGTATGTGTCATGGGATGACAGTGCAATTTACCATTCTTATACATCCACTAAAGGCTTAAGGGGGCAAGGATTCAAGCTGTTACCTGATGTCATCCATGACTGGATTAAGTCAGGTTAATTACCAAGTCAGGTAATTAACCAAGGCTCACTCATGTTTTCCATGCTGTGTCTGTCTCTGGTTCTGCACAAACATAGTATCAGAAGTACTCCATTCATAGACTTTGCCATTTTGGTGACATGTGGAAGGGGGAAAGTAATCAGAGTTGCCAGGAAATTTCCTTACAGAGCATTTTCCCAGAGAAAGATGCTAGTACATACAAACCACATTGTCTGAAACCATGAGTTTTGTTTGTTTTTTTCTGAAGGCACAAACCAGCCTTCCAATTGCCCACTGCAAAGTAATTTTGTCACTTCTGAAAGTGATATACATACTGGTTTTGCTAACATTAATTTATAAGAGGGGCAAAGTTTAAACTCTTGTACACTATGGGAATGAGATTTGTTTCACATTCAAAGGGGCTTTTTTTTTTTTTCTTTTTTCCCTCATTTTTTCATTTCATAATGGTGCTTTCACAACACAGAAGACCTGGGTCACAGCTTATCCAAGTGACACTAGTTTGCACAAGGGATTTCCTCTGAAAAGCAGTGACATGCTTCAGATGGTATCTTTTTTTCTCTGCAAGTATCAGAGTGGTTAAGGCTGAAGCCTGTTTCTCCTATTACTAGAAAAAACTAAACTTTTTTTTTTCCACTAAAAAGGTCTGCACCCATAATTATGGATCTATGTCCCATAATAGCAATAGGTATCGATGAAAACAGCTGAAACACTTACAATGGACAAGGAACTTTGAACATCTCTTCAACTGCATAGAAAAATGTCTAAAGACCCTAGATTTCTGTGGAATTCTCAACCAAGGTGAGAAGGAAGGACTTGATTTGTCTATAGCTGCTACTTGTTCAAACCAAAATGCAAGTTGTTGGATTACCAGGAGCTCTGGAAGTGTTTTTGTATCTACAGTGTGGGTTACGTTTGTGGGAAGTGGAAAGCTGGAAGTTTCTGACATGCAGGTTAAGATGCTGAAAGGTATGAGTGAGAGCTTAGAATACCAGGAAAATGAAGAGCTGTGACACAAGATGATGACACAGGTTTTGGAAGTACAGAACACTCAGGCTGAGGTTGTGTAAAACAGATGAATGATGTGGCCACGGACAGAACTGAGCTGTGGGGTTCACAAAGGCACCGAAGGGAAAAGCATGCCCAAGAGTTCATCAGGACTGTGTGCTGCCAGGGCACTCTGCAGGAACGCACAATCCACACCACATTCTGAGCACTCCAGCTCAACTCCGCTCAGGGTCGCTTAGTCCCGACAGCAGCGAGCCCAACCTCCCCCTCAGCTCCCCACAGCTCCGCCCGCACTGGCGCCCGCACTGGCTGTGCCGTGCGGATGTTTCCCCTGCCCCAGCGCTGCAGCCTCCCGTCCTTCCCCGCAGACCCTCCGTGCGCGGAGCTGCCCCGAGAGCCCTCACGGACTGAGAGCCCTCACGGACTGGGACCCCCGCGGCTGGGCGCTCCCACCTCAGTCCCAGCGCGGCCGCCATGGCGCGGTCGCCGCTTCGCTGGGCGCTGAAGGCTTCAGCGTGGCCACGCCCTAGGAACCTCCCACTGCTTAACAACCAGATTTAACCGCATCTCCTTTTCCCGCTCCTAAAGGGAGGGATGTTATGTATAGTGTCTCACTTGCTGTTCCTTATCTCTGCAGCGGAGTGTGCAGTTCTGTGATACTGCTGTGTGCTCACGGTGCTATAAGCAGTGATGGAGAGTGAGTTCTGTCCAGAGGCAGCAGGACAAGTCTGTTCCTTACCTCTTGTCTCCACAGGTGCTCTGTGTGCACACAAAACCAGGGAGAATGAGGAAATGGGTTTATTTTCCTATGGTGCCTCTGAGGGACTATTGTAGCATGTGGATGTAACGTGATGCCCCTTTGGGTTCCTACATACCTGTGTCTGGGCTATGAGTTAGCAGATTGCCTGTGTGTCTATAATAATTGCTATGAGAATGTCTATATAATTGCTATAAGAAACTTTAATTTTCCCTTTTTCATCACCCAAAATTTTGCTGAATCTTTCCTAGGGATAGGTACTCAGAGGAATTAGAAATATGTCCCCAAACACAGGGTTTTTAATGGCAGGAGAAATTATTTTGTTGGCAAAAATACACCTTATGTACAGCTTCTGTTTGCCTTGGGCATGGCAGACTCATGCAACAAATTACCACTCCCTTTCTCTGCTGAGCTATTGTATACATAATCACACAGCAATGACTTAACAAAAATCATGTTGTTCCATTCCAGTGGACAATGGCATCAAGTTCACAGTCACTTTACTCATGGCCATCTCAGTGTTTGCCTGCAGGAGAGATCACAGAAAATATTGGTGTTTGACATGATGCCCGAGGCCCAGGTCCAGTGACAAAACCAAACCAAAAGTCACTATAACTTCCCTACTGTGCAAGCATGGAGAAACCTCAGTTCCTCTATTAGCCTTGGGGGTTTGACAAGTATGGGTGCATTGCCAGGAAGGGCAGGACTTTACCTCTCTTTGGCAAGGGCTGCCCCAGCCCTTTGGACCCTACATATGTTTCCTAGTCATGTACAGCTCTGACCTGAAGGTTGGGTGGAAGTGTGTGGAGCCCCAGAAGGGAATAACTTTACTCTTGTGGTCCTAGATCAACTTGGACACTGTGTTAAACACATTAAGAGCAAAGCTCCTCCATTTCCATTATTGTACCCCAGGAAAAGCTGGTACAAGGAGGACCCTGGTGCCCTCAACTGAAGAGGGAGCAAAAGGGATGGAGAGGAGTTCAGCCTGTACTTTGGTTCTTTCTTTTGCTCTAGGCCAACACTGATGCTCCCACAGATCCTGTTTGCAGAAGCATGAATCCTTCTATAATTGCAAGGTAGCAATTAAGTTAAATCTTTTACTGCACCTCTGTGTCTGTTGGGTTATGTGTTGTCACCTCTGGTGCAGAATAGCTGCAGGCAATAGAAACACTCATCGTTACCTGCAAGGTGGGATTGGGTGGTGTTTTAAAGGGTTGCAGGTGATGCAGGATGCAGAGGGAGGCACTGCTTACAAAAACACCTGCTGGTGGGGAGGGGTTCGGCCTCAGGTGTCCCGTTTCAGTGGCAATGCCAGCACGGTGCTTGTGCTGAGGTTATAAGCGCAGAGAGCATTGAGAGCAGCTCAACAGTACCTGTCCCAGCTGGGGGTCAGCTCAAGGAGAGGCTGCGGCAGGGCATGATGCTCCTTTCCCCTGAAACCAAAGCTTCCTATCAGGAACAGCATGGTCAGCAGGA